CTCTCTCTCTCTCTCTCCCATGTTCTCATGCTGCCGGCAGGAGATGAAGGAGGCGAGCAAGGTGAGGCCGGGCCGGCCTAGCTGGCCGGGGCTGACTGTCCGCGATGCTGCTGCCCCGAGGCTTTTATGGGCTTACATAACGAGTGCTTAGTAGGGCCGATATGTCTGCAACATGCTACGCAAGGCCCACTTGCACTGATTGTTAAGGCTCCGATTCGCTTTCAGCTTGATAGCTGCACTTCTGGTCACAGCGGTATTAGCTACGGTGCGCACACTTTCAAGCATTGCCGACATGCCCCTATTGATGAACCGCGTCGTTAGTAATGAAGTTGTCCCATTGCCAGCGCGATCATGTCATTATCACTAAAACCACGTTTCCGAAACCGGCGCTACGTCACGATATCTGAATTCATGTCACTGTTGTGAAATAACCACATGCCACTATTTGATTCATAACTTTGGTGTCGCTAGTGATAGTGCGTTGCGTTTCGACGCGTCCTTAAGGCAACAAGCTGCTGATAACATAAACAACTTGCCACAAAGTGGATAGCATGGCGGTGATGTCATGCAGTGGTGTTGCTGCTGCCCGCATTGCATCGCTGCTGTGAACTTCAGCGCTGGTGTTCATGCATGCATTGTTGTTATTGCTGACGAGTGCTCATCATTCGTTAACTCTCCAGTCGGGTTCAAGTTTTGCGCTTTCCAACGGCGAGAACCGTCTGGCCTCAAGCGATCTTTTTGTGGCCCACGAGAAAAAAAATCATCACGCGGTTAAACGACGGGACAGGAAAAGCTGTCTCGGCTGATGTACCGTCCATTAGGGCTTGACTACGCGTAAGAGTGCGACATAGTGGTATTTAAGGCACTTATTTCCGTTGAGAACCATAGACGCGATGTTGAGTTCGGATAACTTGGAAGTAATGGCTGACGCTGTTAATGTCTATGCTAAATAGATGTAGTGCTACGTCATTGAGCTATGACGTCATTTCTGGCGACGGAGGATGTCTCGCCTTGGCTCTGTCGTGCTGTAGTATAGCAGATGCGTTGGGCAGGCTGAGGTGCGGTTGTGAGCATCTGTTAAATACGTGCGCTGCGGCCACAGCCACCGCCGATTCCGACTCCTGTCTCATGCTTTTCCGAAGGAATCGATTGCACCTCGACTCTGCGATGGCAGTGATTCTGTTGCCGACTATGAAGTTGATTCTAACCACACGCATTGACAGACGCAAATATGCCAACTACACACAACATGCGCTGCTGTCCATCCTTATTTATATAACTAAAATTACGCAGGCTATAGCTCCCACTCAGTCCAGCGCAAGCCTAACCACGGATGCAAGGCCCGGGACGACCCCGTCCAAATGGAAAGCAGGAGACCAAACACGCCCTCTAGTGTCGATGTGGCCAGTAGCTGTCGCGGCAACAGTCCAACTCTGCGGTGAATCCTCGCCCGTCACCCCAAGCGTCTCCCAGCCCAGAGGGGGGCCGACTGGAGCCGCCAGTCAGGCCCCAGCTGACGTCGAGCAGCGATGACCGCATCCGCTGCGGGCGAGCGAGAGATGGCGCGAGCGGGGGAGGTCAGCCGCCGAGGGGAGGTTAAGTGGCGCGAAAGCGGCGCCAGATGTGACGGATGGTGGCAGTCGGACGCCAGGAGCCGTCTCCGCGCCTGGTCAGCACGCACCCGGCAGTAATGGACGGCTGACCAGCGATGAATCATTCATCGCCGCCGCCAGAGCCGAGATCATCCGAGATGCGGGCATCGCCGGAAACGGCACCCAGCAGACTGCTGTGTCAGCCTACAGGCACGCTCAATGGCACCCAGCAGAGTGCTGCGTCAGCCTACAGGCACGCTCAAACGACGCCCAGCCAAGTGCGGCGTCAGACTGTAGGCACTCTCAAACGACACCCAGCCGGGCGCGGCGTCAGACTGCGGGCACGCTCAAACGACACCCAGCCGAGTGCGGCGTCAGACTGTGGGCACGCTCAAACGACACCCAGCCGAGTGCGGCGTCAGACTGTGGGCACGCTCAAACGACACCCAGCCGAGTGCGGCGTCAGACTGCGGGCACGCTCAAACGACACCCAGCCGAGTGCGGCGTCAGACTGTGGGCACGCTCAAACGACACCCAGCCGAGTGCGGCGTCAGACTGCGGGCACGCTCAAACGACACCCAGCCGAGCGCGGCGTCAGACTGTGGGCACGCTCAAACGACACCCAGCCGGGTGCGGTGTCAGACCTTAGGCAAGCAAAAACGACACCCAGCCGGGCGCGGCGTCAGACTGCAGGCACGCTCAAACGACACCCAGCCGAGTGCGGCGTCAGACTATGGGCACGCTCAAACGACACTCAGCCGGGTGCGGTGACAGACCTTAGGCACGCAAAGCGACACCCAGCCGGGCGCGGCGTCAGACTGCAGGCACGCTCAAACGACACCCAGCCGAGCGCGGTGTCAGACTGCAGGCACGCTCAAAGGACATCCAGCCGAGTGCGGCGTCAGATTGCGGGCACGCTCAAACGACGCCCAGCCGAGCGCTGTGTAGGCCTGCGGGCGACTCATTCTGCATCGCTCTTGATGTTAGACTTGCGCTCAGTTGAGCGTGATTAGCCCAGGCTGTATTTTATCATGTTAGAGAAGGACGAACACAGCTGTTGTAAGCATGTGTTTTGGGCGACAGCAGACATGTGTGACTCCGCGGGGAGCGCAGCCAACTACGGCATTGGCCAGACTGTCGTTTAGTCAAGGTGGAATCGATTCCACTTAACAGGTTATGTCGGGAGTCAAAGTCGGAAAGTCACACTTTGTGTGTGCAAAAGCCGGAGTTGAGTAAGCCGTGTACGATGAAACTATCCACAACCTGTTTTTCTGCTGTACCAACACTGTAAGACATTCTTTTAGTAACTTAAATTAATTACAGACGCTTCCCCATGAGTGTCTGTCGTAACTATTTGCCTGATTAAGTGGAAGCGGCTTCTCGTGTGATGTTTGAATCGTGGGCAGTGGCCATTCATTAGATAAAATCGCCCTTAGAATTAAAAAAATAAACTTTACCTTTTCATCGTCGTAAATGTCAATACAGTGATAGGGGATCAGTAGCACCAGAAAAGGAGATGCGCGTGCTAACTGGCTGCGGCTTTTAAGCGAACTCAACAATACCCCCTGGACCCTCGGCCACCCGAGAAGTTGTCACTGGCGGTCTAACGCGATGACCCGCTGGGCTTCAGTGTCTGGAGAAGGTTCTCGTGCAAAACATTCTGTTCGGCCTGTCGCCGAGCCTGACGGACGCCATCAGGTCGATCTCGCGCTGGCGTCTCATCCAGACTGCGTTCCCCTACGTAGTCCACTGTGCTGCAAGCCTTCTGCACAACCGGTGAGAACAGAGGCAATGTTTTTAAAATAGGTGTTGCGATCTGGAAAGCATTGTTGAGCGTCGATTGGACAAAGGGACGGTCGATTCCATTTGTTTTACGAGATCTGTGTGCACTTAACAGCCGCAGCGAGAGATTGCGTCACAGCGCATTACTCAGACTCGGGTCCCATATTGACAGGGCAGGTCGTGGATGGTCAACGTGGTGGAAATTCCCGGCACGGCTCGATCATTTCGTTGATCTTTCCGACAAACCCAGCCAAAGTCATTATTATTAAGGTCTCTATAGCTGATGCTGTGGGCTCGGCTACTCTGTGCTACTGACCTTTGCGGTTGCAAAGCCAGGCGTCGCGACATCTCGTCATGTCCGACTCAGGCGTGATTTGTTTGGTTTAATCCGTTACCTGGGACATATGGGGGACATCGGACTGCTCCAAATACCTAAGCTCCAAATACCAAAGACCTAATGGTGTTCCAAATACCGAATACCAAATACGTAATACCGTGACCATGGCTACAATGAGCATAGGTGTAGAGACACTTACGATACAGGAACAGTTATTGTAAGTTTTTAGATTTTGGAAATTTGTAAGCGAAGCCTTTGCAGTGTCGTTCCTGCTCTACCATTGCCGCTGGGAATAACATTTCGTTGTGATGGATACAGATGTCATGGTGATGGTAATGGTGGCTCAAGGTCACATGGTGACCTTGAGAGCCCGAAGGGGGCGGCTGGGTTGGTCTCAGCTGCGCTGCTTCGCCGGCAGCCGAGAGTCGAACCTGCAAGGCCTCGGCGCCGTGGACACCAAGCTGCTGTACACGCTGCACTGGATCCTGCTGGACGCCGCCGAGGAGTGCCGCGACGCCGACCTCGAGATGGGCATCTTCAACACGTCTCCGTTCCACTACCTGTTCCCCATCACCAGCATCCAGGTGAGGTTCCGGTCGGCCGCGCCCCCACCCGTCAAAGGGTGGAGCGCAGAGAGGTCACCGAGGTCGGTCTGTCTTACTTGCTGTGAGTATGGACTGCGTGTAATTGATCGCTCCTGTAAATTGGTGCGGATTCGTACACGTGCCAGTAAGCATTGTTACGGAATGTGCGAAGGCTACACATGCATGATGTATCTGAGCGCTAACGAATTAAACAAACAAGAACGTTTTTCTCATTCTCACCGGTTGAGGTAGAACATTTTTTAAGACGGCTTCACAGCAAGAGATTTCTACGGCCTATCGACGGCTTATTACAAGGTGGTTTCGCCCGTTTTTGGTTTTGTTTTCGGATTCATAGTAGTCGTCGGCCAGGTAAAGATGATAATTCTTTCGGTTTTTTCGTGCGGTGTTAAGAGAAAAAAGGTTTCTTTCAGCTTTTTCAACAAGGTGATCCAAAAGGTTGTGGAGAAAACTGTGTGATTTTACTCGTAACATCAAGCAGAAAAAGTACCAAAACATAACGTGTCACCCTCACCCTGATACGCCATTTTTCATACACGGGACTGATAGGGATGGGGGGCCGACGCGAGTCCTTCCCCTTCTTCGCGTTTCCAAGTAATAGAGATACAGCTTAGCAGAAAACATCAGTGGATTGACCTTAACGACATCCCGCGATTGGATTTAGTTTTGATGCTGTCAGATTAAATTTTAACACACTTTGCCAGATTATCGGTCAAGTTCTCCAGAAAACCCCACTTATTGGCTTTTCATTATATCATCATTATATCTACAAGACCATGCCTCTTGGCGACAGAAAACCTGCACAAGCATGTTCCTCGTTTAATTTTGAGCATTGTTACGAATAGTAAATACAAACTTTGAACCGTCTTTGAGTACGTCTATATATGAGTTTTGGGCCTGCGCTTATGATACATGGCTCCGTTAGTGTCCCACGTTGCGGCACGTTATGGTGGACGCTTAACATATATATATATATATATATATATATATATATATATATATATATATATATATATATATATATATATATATATATATATATATATATATATATAGTGTCCCACCAAAAGCACACATTAGTAAAACCTCAGAACCGGCATTTATCATAAGGTATTATACACTGTCAACGCTTCTTAACAGCACTGCGCTTCTCCCTACAGTCGCGACCATCGTCATCATGACAACGCCGCGCACACTTCCACTGGTGCGAATAAAAGAACGTGTGTGGTTGGCCCAGCGGGCGACAAAGGCCTGTTGCCGAGAAGCGCATCTGGTGAAGTTTTAAAAAGTGCGCTTTTATGAGTCATGTAATGCTCCTATTGTAAATGCCGAAGTGCACATCGAAAAAAGCCACCGTGTTGAACGTTACAGATGAAAAAACAAAGGCATAGTGTAACGTTGTGTTGAATTTGCGGAATGATAGCTTCATGTTTGTTTCCTTTTTTGTCTAAACAGGGTGTTTTAATGTTTCGAAGTATTTATTCTACAAGCAATTTGGCAATTTAGTGTGCTTCAAACATTACAGAATGCATGCGTTCCAAATAGGAAAGCGGATTAAATGTATTACTTCTATAGCTTCCAAATGGAAATTCTACGCTGTTAAGAAGTACTTTCGAGAAAACTGGTATTTCTAACGAAATTGGATGCGTCTGATCTCGCAACAACTGACACGTACAAAAAGCTGGCATGCGCGCTTTGATGTCACAATATCGGCTCGCCGCGTGTGTTCCGCGACATCGTCAGTTGCCGTCCGCCGTCCGTGCCGGCCACAGACCGCGCAGCGTTCCTCAAAAACCATCACTGCTCGAGAACAAGAGAAGCTAGAAACACTTTCGCGGCCAAAATACGTGCAATGGACTATAGGCCTAGCCATAGGACCGTAGGACATGGGACATAGGACCATAGGACTGCCCCATGGACTAGAATTAAAGTATGGGTGTGATTGCACAATATACTGGAGAGGCATCCTCAAAAAACCTTGGGGGCTTACATCACTCCTATCAGAACTAGGGTTAACATTACAACCTGTTGTCAAGCAAGATTTTAAAAGGTCATGCACCGTTCAGATTTTGTGAGGCCGACAGTAAGTAGTGCCCATGCCTTTGACAGTTCTACAGTAAGCAGTGTTCATTTTGTTGACGGTCTCTCAGTAAGCAGCGTCAGAGTGACTGCCGATCTTCACCAAGCGGAATCCAGACAGCTGACCGCTCGACGGAGTCCGCTGTCCGGACGTTCACCACTGCACCGGACGTGGTACCCGCGTGCCTGCTCCCTGCAGAATCCGATGCGCTCCAGACCTACCGATCGATCTGCCACGTTAGCCTGGTCCCGCAGGGGCCATTCGCGGGCTCTGCATGACGACGACGCAGACTTCCGGCAACTTATCACACTTCAAAGTGCAGGAGTTTAGCGTCAGCCACGTTTTCTAATCAGACCGATTACGCCAACTCAACAGGTTAAAGCACTCGTGTCATTGGACCAGGCGGGCCTTTAAGAATGAATGTTCTAATTGGCCGCCGCCGTGGCGCATCGGTTCGGGCGGGGAGCGCCCTGGCCCTGCGAAGCCTGCTCCGAGGACGCGTCGTCCGTCCGAGCGCTTCGACCCGGATTCACGTCTCTGGCCCGGTATTGAGCGGCGCGGCCGCGAGTCAGATTTGAGTGGGCTCGTGTCGATCCGAGCTCTTTGATCAATCGGCTATCCTTTGTTGAATAAGGCAGGCGTATTAGCGTTGGTTTTAGGGTCTGGAACAATGGGATTTTATGACGTGGAAATCCTGTTCTCATTAGCAATATGGCGTGAACGGTCAAATAGTGTGCAAGCTGGATGATCTGCACTGCAGTGCTCATTTCGAAAACTGCGTCGTATGTGATATATAATGGATGAGTGTTGTGCTTTTGGACGAGACTTCAGTTTTCATGCATGAGTCGATTGTCTCATGCAACACAAGCAAGCTACATTTATTGGCCAGTGTGACACGTTCAGTGGTTCGGGCAAAACTTCCGCTGATATGTCCGCATGTGTTAAAGTCCGCAAAAGTCCGCATATGTTAGCCGGTCACTCGCTCAGACACTCCGGGCATCACCTTCGCCGCACCCCCGGGACTCTAATGCACTTGTGGATCCTGCTGAAGAGCTTGCTGTCCGCGCGTGCTTGCAGTCCGATGGATACACCTAGGGCTTGATCAACACTCACTTGTCTTCTGCGGAGTAAAACTGAGGAGGACGAGGTACGGGGTAGTCCTCTGCGATGTGGTGATGGTGCGACGGGTACGATAGCTCCTTTGATAATTTTGGCTGGCTGATATTTAGCGGGTTTCTTTTTTGGTCAAACTTCAAATAATAATTATGAAAACGGCTTATCAGGCAGCTGTGATATAAATGTTTGGTCCGTTAAAATCGATTGCGAAGAACCTTTGATAGAGCGCTTCCATTCGGAGCAACTGCAGAGGTGTTTTGTATATCAGGGGCCGCGCAGCAGGGACGGGGGGGGGGGTGGCAAAAGGAGTGCCCCCCCCCCCCAATTACAAAAGCATTGTAGCTAACCGTAGAGAACTAACATTGGGATCAAGGTGGCCTGAGATGGAAAGGCTCGGGGTCATCATGCTCAGAAGATCCTTTGCTAGATCAAGAAACCCGCTTCTGGATCATGAGCTAGCCTTTATGGTTAAGGTAGCCAATACCCTAATCGGCCTAATATTGTGTTAAGGATGTCCCTTTGCTGGCTTGGACGCCCCGTTATAAACGATGAGGCCGCTGTTCTGGGTTAGGAGTCACCCTTGATATTCGTGGTGGCAGTGCATTCCTAGAGCGAGAGGCTCCTTTTATGTCACAGATGGCTGCAGTTCTGGATTAGGATGCCGTTTTTGGAATAGCGAGACTCTTCACTGAATTATTAGAGGGCCTCTATTCTGTATTTTCAAATGTCGGCATCTGTTTGCGTAGCTATGATGCATGCAACGGTTTGATATGGGGACCAACGCCCTCGGTGCCCATCCCCCTTGAATACGACACTGCGCAGGAGGCCCCCTTTAAGAAGACCCCATGTTGTTAAGGAGGCCCCTGGAAAATCCTGCCTTCAAACTCAAAAATCGCGGCGCCGCCCCTGCTGTGTATGCATCTTAGGCGTTTCTGTCACTCATGTAGGTAGCTGTGTGACGATACGTTTCGCTCCGGCACCAACCGTGGTGTTAAGGTTTTTGCTACAATAAAACTGCATTGTGTTCTGCTCCAGGGCAGGGTGGCACTGCGTGAATGCATGTTCGGCTCCAGTAGGGCAGTCGTAAGGCTGCGTGCTTGGCTCTGGTACAGTAGTCGTGGGCTGCGTGTTTGGCTCCGGCACAGTAACTGTGAGGCTGCGTGTTTGAATAATGCTGCCGTGACTTCCACGCTCCAGTGTGGCAGTCGTGAGGCTGCGTGTTTGGCTCCGTTACAGCAGTCGTGGGCTGCGTGTTTGGCTCCGTTACAGCAGTCGTGGGTTGCGTGTTTGGCTCCGTTACAGCAGTCGTCGGCTGCGTGTCTGCCTCCGTCTCAGCAGTCGTGGGCTGCGTGTTTGGCTTTGGCACAGCAGCCGTGGGCTGCGTGTTCGGCGCTGGTTCAGCAGCCGTGGGGCTGCGTGTTTGGCGCTGGTTCAGCAGCCGTGGGGCTGCGTGTTTGGGTGTATGCAGCCCTGCATGTCGCGCGGCAGTGCTTAAGTCGTGAGGTTTCGTGTTTGATTCCGGTACAGCCAGACGTTTGGTTGTCTGGCTGTGGAACATTAGTCATGAGGCCCTCTGTTTGGCTCCACTGCATCAGCCGTGTGGCGTGCCGTTGATTTAAGTACGGCAGTCGTGTGACTGTGAATGGCTCCGGTCGGCAGGCGTGTGATTGGCTCGCTCCGGTTGGGAGTGACGTCACCAGAAATATATGCCGGGTACGGATGTGCTGAGCAGATAGTCGAATATCGATAAGGCAGAGCCGTGTGCATCGCGAGGCATCAGCGTGGGAAGAAGCGGCCAAGAGCTAGCTGCAAGGAAGCACTGGGGAATCGCAGGGACAGTGTATGGGGCATAGGGAACCCATACACAGGGAAGTGTATGGGGCGTATGGAACCCATACGTAGAGAAGTTTACGGGGTATAGAGAACTCATACACAGTATATAGTATAGTATAGCACAAGGCGTGGGTATAGAGAACCTCGATTTATTTTGGTCATAATTCGAGTGTGGTTTACAAGGGCATGTGTGCTAGACAAAAATAGTTACCATAAATACATTTTCTTTTTTACGAATGGCGGACATAGACGTGATTCCTAGACGCTATGTAGGTTAAAGGGCATTTGCGTGCGATTTATCTTCTAGTTCAAAATCATTGCATACAAGTTAAAGTGAGTGCTTGACAACTGAAACTATCATCTGGTTGATCCACACATTTACGATAAAAGATGCACGTCACACACTACAGGCATGTCGAACAGTCAGCACGTCTTGGTGTCATCACTGCAACTAATAAAGCTTTTCTGATAGATGAAGTACTCAGCATTGCAGAATAGTTGGACTGGACTGTGAATAGTTGATAAGTGGTACACTTATCACAAAATTCAGGATCTTGCATTTCAATCCACTAGACTTCAAGATAGCAGACACACTGTTAGAATTCATTCCATCAGGGTTGTCTTTAAATGCTGTCAGAATAACACCAACCAGAAAAACAACAGTTTTTCTTCGTAAGATATTTTGTAATTCATCTGATGTAAAGCGATGTGGTGTGGCGAATGAGCAAGTCAGAAGGGGCTGAGACCTCTGACTTTGACCCCTGGCTGCAGGTAAACCGATCATTAAAACGCCCCAAAGTAAGCCACAAGATTTAACACGCGCTCGAGTGGGGGTCAAAGACCCCCGAAGGTTTCCAGACTGGTTTCCGAACGGCGCTGCGTAGCCGCGCCAAATTTTGCATAGCTGTAGGCAGTTGAATAGCGGATCGCTTGGCATCAAAAATGTATGTGTATCTTGCACGGTCGCTGACCTATGGCAGCTCAAAGTCAGACCATGGTTTCAGCGAAGGCAGTTTCTAGGGAATCGTTTGATCTGATCCAACAATGAAGTGTTAAACGAAGCCATACGTCTCTGAGATGCTTTCTTAGGAAAGCACAACAGTTGAATGAGCAAATTACATTGACCTATCATCATCATCACCATCCATCACCACCATCAGGTATGAAGGTCACATCAAGGTCAAAACCGGCCTGTTTTGTTACTCTGGGGCTTGCTGTATGGAATAGTTTTTGGTGCTCATTTCGAGTTTATTGATGGCAGGAACCGCATTATGTATCTTCCATGGACTTCTTAGAGGTCATGACAGGTCAATGACCTAAAATGACCCCGGTCAACATTTTGTTTTAGGAGCATACTGTCTGGCCCAATCTTTGTCGCTTAGTCAAATGCAAAACTCAAATCAATCCTTTATCACTTCGATCACCTTGACCTTCAAAAGGTCAAACAAGGTCGCTTACCTCGAATGAGAATTTAATCTTCTGCTTAGAAACGGTTATCTAGGTTCTGGGGGCACTTTGGAGACCATCCTCGAACTTCACCTTGTTTGACCTTTTTTGACCCAAAGGTCATAATTTAGGAACCTGAAACTTTGACCTCAATGAGTTCACGTACAGGCCAACATAACCTGTAAATTTGGTGTCTTTAGCTTTCTTAGTTCCCGAGATATTAGGGGGGTCAAATTGACCCTCCCCACCCGAGTGAAGGGTATCTAGGCGGCCACCCGGGCGCGTGCTAATCATGTTTTTGGAAAGATCAATTTTCTGCTGTTGTATGTTGAGGTTGTCAAAAACGACTGTGTATAGGAAAATCTACTCTTGAACGCCTTATGAAATAAGTTTGGATACGCGTAGAAGATGTTTTGGACCGTAGATTTTACTTTTGCGATTTGTTTTATTGATGTTCGGAACAGATAACACCACGGAATCACGACGCGTTGGCGTAATCGCAGTTGCCCGTACTGCTCTAACTGCTGATTTCGGTCGGAGGATCAACCTCAAAATTGCACAGTTAAAACTTCCTAGTCAGCAGCTGAAGGCCTTCCCGTCGCAGCTCGCGGTATCTAGCAGCTGCTCTTCTGGCGATACAGAGACCGCGGCGCCCTGGTCGATCCAGAGACCCTCAGCGGGATCCGTTCGGTACGGCGACACCGGTCCCGTCACTAATGCAGCACGCCTTCTAAACTGGGCAGTCGGCACATGATCGACACCCGTCCCGTCACTGATGCAGCACTCCCTCTAAACTGGGCAGTCGGCACACGATCGACAACCGTCCCGTCACTGATGCAGCAAGCCCTCTAAACTGGGCAGCCGGCACATGATCAACACCCGTCCCGTCACTGATGCAGCAAGCCCTCTAAACCGGGCAGCCGGCACATGATCGAAAAAGGGACCGCCGCTGACTCAAACTGATTCTTCACCGGCGCAAGGTGTTCGGTAAATGGCTCCAAGACGCCAATTCACCTTATTGGCCCCTGGTTGAAATGGCGTGAAGGGTCCCTCGCTCGGTGCTGGGACCGCTGGCAGACACAGGTCACTGTCTCATCGCGAATGCAAACCTTTGCATTGCCATTTTTATGTCGCAGTTCATTGCCAAAACGGTCTAGACCAAAGCAAAATACCCTTCGAAACGTGGGTCCCGCTCGTGCTATCCCTTCACCATGATATTTTGGTGTCAAGTGGGGACCCAAATATTTCATGGGTGGCCCAAGGGGGTGAGTGGCATCCCCCTCTAGAACCTGCTGGTTTCACTACATTTTTCGACTGCAAGCAGAAGAATAAAACATTAAATTTTTTAGAGTCCTGGAGCATTGCCATCACACCAATCAATGAAGTGTTGTCTTTGGCCCCAGTGGCCGGTACTTCCGAGAGAAGCCCATGGACAGCTGAAAAAGTTGCTCCCTTCTCGCAGCCTCCTGGAGCAACTTTGAAGTGGTACCATCTATGGGCTCGGGCAATATGTGCTCTGACAGGGAGATGCTGTGGGCTATAAGTGGTTGTTTTTCCGCCACCAAATGATCCGCTTTCAAACCAAGACAAGATAAACCCATGATGTCATATTTTTGGAAGCTATGAGGCGTCTATGAAAAAACAACTGAGACACTAAAACTAATCTTCTGTTCCGTGTTCGTCCACAAGACACGAGCTGTTGGGAATGAACACAAATGAAAATACTGAGTATTGTCAACATATCGTTGTTTAGCACTACAAAGTCATTTAGCCAGTAGGTGCATCCTGGTAAGTATACTGAAGGTCGTTAATTCAACATAAGGACTCTGAACTCGGTAAAAGAAAAAATGTTTCAGCTTCTGTTTTTTGTATTATAAGTTCAACTATCATATGGTCATGTATATACCTATATATATATATATATATATATATATATATATATATATATATATATATATCATATCATATCATATAATCATGATAGCCATGACATGGCTATAAGCTCGCCCAACTTGCCGACGTGTCCGCCAGGTATTCATCTACCTCTTCACGCCGCTGATGCACTCGCTCAAGGAGTCGGACTTCGCCAACTTCCGGCTTGAGAACGGGCTGAAGATCTGGTCGGCGCTCTGGGAGTATCGGCACCCCGAGGTTGCCTGCTTCACGGCCACGGCGCGGCCGCGGCCTGCCGCCCCGCCGCCGCGCCGCGGCAAGAAGGCCAACCAGATATTCGGCGACGTCTTCATCGGCGGAGGGCGCCAAGGTGAGGCAGGCATGTACATCCTGCTGACGGACGTCAGAAAGATGACGTTTCTGATCATGGTGCGTAGAATCGGTCCCGTTTCCAACTAACCATATGCATGTTCATAAAGAGCGAAGCAATACTGTAGTTCATACACATATTTCCTGTCGAGCGCTTTGCCTCAAGTCATTGCTGCACCGGGTGGCATTTGGTGGTTTTACATAAGCGTCAGCATCTTGATGGGCTTCATGCTGACAGCCATCGACTGTGGAGAACGCCTGTCATCCATCTCCTCCGCCTTCAGTCTTGTTGCCTGCCTCCCAAGAGTCGAGCTCGTGCGCACACATGCTGCTGACAATGGATAGTCGTGTTGAGAAAAGGGAGACATATTTACTGCAAACCCGCGTTATTGAATGGTGGTGGTTATGGTTGGCGCACCTATGTGGACGTAGTCACAGCTGTGTCCCGGCATCGACTCAGCGGACGCTGTGGTAAACACGGTCTTCTGCAGTATCGGGCCTGTTCTACCCACAGCCGAGGCTCCAGAAACAGCGCGCAGCAGCAAAGCACAGCCCCTCCAGAATGCGGAGTTTACTCCGAGAGGCTGTCTATTTTTATGCTCCACCAGAAGCTGGTCTGTTAGTTTTCGGAGAGCCCGAAACGGCGAGCGAAACATGGTGTCGAGACTGACGCGCTATTTGGGCCGAGGCCGGCGCCGCCGACGGCGCGCCGCGCCGCTCCGCCGCCACGACGGATCGCCGCTGAACAGGCCTTTCCCGGCTTTAAAACGAATTAGTCCGGCGAAATGGAGAGAACGGATGGGCGAGGCAGCCATTTGGAGGCCGGGAACGTTTGCGAAAGCGAATTGGAGCTTTTTGAAATTATATCATGACGTACCTTAGGAAACCACGAATGGCAATCTTAGATATAAAACCCATCTTCATCAAATCATGCTAGATTATTAGCGATAGCCGTGTGTATTCATCGTAATCTACCAGGGAACGAACTGCACAAGTGCGTTAATTCAGAGTGGTGTCTCTATGTGAGAACCGCGACTCGACACCTGGCTTCAATGGCCATACATTGGCGCGGCTGGTGGGCGCGTGCTACGAATTCACCTTTGATTACGCCGACAGATTATTAAGTTATGCGGCATTCCACGACAAACGACCGAAGATGGATGCGTATCAACACGGCACCCCTTCAGATTTTACGGAAAACACTACTATAGAGTAGTTTGCAACCCAAATACGATTCCGCAAGCGTTAGACCCATACGGCCTACAGTTATGAGCCTAAAAGCAGATGTAAATATGCGATCACACCACGAAACCTTTTTTCAACTCGCTTTAGCGGAAGCAGTTTGCGAAGTGCAATGTTTGGGAAAAGTGCATCGAAAGCCTAAATTCCTCTCTTCTTGTTAACACATCGATCAATATAGCATCTAAGGCCATTTAGGTACTTATAGTGGCCTAGTTTGACATTTGAATTCATTTTCTGAAAAAGCACCTTAGATTTTCCTACAACCGATATAAAATTCATGACCAATGTATGGTCGTTCAGGCTTAACACAAAAAACCAGATGGGATCTATTCTAGATCATTTGCAACTCGTATTTGAACATTAGCGGATCACGCACAGCGGCGCGCCATAAACTGACCTGCCGGTGTCGGGTGTCGGTGTCGTGTGTCGGTGACCGGCCGTTGTCGGGTGTCGGTGTCGTGTGTCGGTGACCGGCCGGTGTCGGGTGTCGGTGTCGTGTGTCGGTGACCGGCCGGTGTCGGGTGTCGGTGTCGTGTGTCGGTGACCGGCCGGTGTCGGGTGTCGGTGTCGTGTGTCGGTGACCGGCCGGTGTCGGGTGTCGGTGTCGTGTGTCGGTGACCGGCCGGTGTCGGGTGTCGGTGTCGTGTGTCGGTGACCGGCCGGTGTCTGGTGTCGGTGTCGTGTGTCGGTGACCGGCCGGTGTCTGGTGTCGGTGTCGTGTGTCGGTGACCGGCCGGTGTCGGTGTCGGTGTCGTGTGTCGGTGACCGGCCGGTGTCGGGTGTCGTGTCGTGTGTCGGGTGACCGGCCGGTGTCTGGTTCGGTGTCGTGTGTCGGTGACCGGCCGGTGTCGGGCATCGGTGTCGTGTGTCGGTGACCGGCCGGTGTCGGGTGTCGGTGTCGTGTGTCGGTGACCGGCCGGTGTCGGGTGTCGGTGTCGTGTGTCGGTGACCGGCCGGTGTCGAGTGACCGGGCGCGATCGGATCACTGCGCCGGGAACTGTGACCGCGACCTGCAACCATTAGTTTCAATGTTAAAACCAGTCCCTCCGAGATCTTTAAGGAACTCTAAAGCAATGTCTGAATGACGGGCGCGTGTTCATCGACCCTACGTACCAGTCGTCCTCCACGATTCGGGCACATGGCAATGTCGTGCGCTCCTAGTCCTCACAGTACTTCGATAACCTTTATATTAAGTTGGGCTGGAGAGGTCGTGGCAACGTGGTTTCGTCGGTGTGTGGAGCATTCTACACTTAGGCTAAGAGAAGTTCTTGAAGGTCGCTTGGCACCTGAGATGCATTTTCTACCAATTCAGATAAAACAAAGATTGCTAACGATCACGAGTAACCATCATGCAGTGAGCATGTGGCCTTCAGTAAACAGTGAATGGTGAGGAGGTTTGGACGCTTGTACTTGTACAGAATACCAGACTAGCAGTATGGTGACTGAGGGCCTGAAAGAGAGGAAAAAAGAGAGCAGTAGTAATGTCACACGTTGTATGCTCCAACCCATGTTTCCATGTTTATGGTGTTTAAAGTGCTGGCAGTGATATATATATATATATATATATATATATATATATTGTATATATATATATATATATATATATATATATATATATATATATATATACATATGTAGATATGCATGCAATATTCTCTGCATCACCAGTTCAAGTTAAAGCAGTTTAACAGCTGCAGTACAGCTGCAGCTGCAGTAACAGCTAGGAAAAGGTGATACCGATGTAGAAAAGTTTCTACCAACTGCAAAACCAGCTCATTGCTTTACCCTTTGTTACCTTACCAGATATAAAAATGCTACCTTTTCGACATGCTCTGTCATAAGTATTGCACTTCCTCACAACCTTTCATGGAAAAGGCCCATGCATCGCAGTTGGAGGCACTATTAAACGCCTTACAGAATATGGAAACCTGAAATGCCCGGAACAGGATCAAACGCTAGCGTCACATAACATGCTTCGCAGCTGCACCGACCGCAGTGCGAGTTAGTAAACAGATAAATTGTGGACGTAGTTTATACGATGCTCCACGAAGCAGACTACGGAGGTACCAAGTTGTTCGTTTCAGTCATGGCCTATTGGTCGTGCATATGCGCAAACGCTATCTTTATACGAATGATCCTCTGATTTGTTTTGTAATTCGCGTAGTCTATCTAACCTTACCGTGTCATTGTCATTCATAGGCGTACTCCTCATCCGTGTGACATCTCATTGAATCCACAAAATGGAGCAACGCCTATAATATAGGCTGAGATGCAAAACAAAAACAAAACGCACGAACGCTGAAAGGAACTCACAGCTACAGTTGTGATTAACCCTGGAAAAACCCGTTGAGCTGCAGTTAAATCAATGACCACAAATGCTGTAACATCCAAAGTACTCCCGTGCAGGATGAATGCAGCACAAAGCATTAATAATGACGGCTTAATTGTGCAAAGTTGAAAGTGCGAAACAAACAAACAAAGATTTTATGCTGCTTTTTTCATTTTTTGCTATTCACATGAACTGACGTTTATTTCATACTCAATAGCATAACTTGCTATAAACGAAGAGTCTGAACGTGACGTTATCTGTCCGCACACCATGTTATTATAAAATAATTTGGCTCCCTGTCTGCATGACTCGGCATGGATGTCACGTGCGCAAGGCCGATCAAAACGCATTCTTCACGCATACATAGCTTGAGTCTCGGTGGGTTTCCAGGTGACGGACGGAGTGGCTGACGGGGCCAGCCGATTACGCCCGGGCGTACGATGCTGGCCGGTCGGTCCATGGCGTGCCGCTTTGCGTGGTCCGCCAAAGGTCAAATTCAATTCACGACCCATCTTGAAAAGATCCGAACGATGATTGTTTTTTACTCTGCACGGGGATGAGCTGGCTTTCGATTGCATTTAGTTTAAAGAGCATCGTAAGCACCGCGTCCTCAGAAAATGGGATAAGCGGTCAAACCAGATCACTATGCGTCCCGAGTTGTCCTTAAGTGTTACATCGACCTATGTTCTAGAAAAAAACTTGTAGCTTTCCGATACAATCAGGCCGATAGGCGGCGGCCTCTGCTGTCTCCCGGGGCGTCTCAGACCGTCGCTGTCTCCGTCTGCAGGCCGGCAGGCGACTGTCTCCGCTCTCTCCCGGGGCGTCTCTGACCGGCGCTGTCTCCGTCTGCAGGCCGGCAGGCGGCCGCGGCGGCGGAGGAGGGCGCATCGGCCCGCTGCGGAATCGGCGACGAGGCGTCGGATGCTAACCAGCCGGCCGGCTGGAGCGCCCGCCACGAGCCACCCTCTGACCTCAGCTTCAGCTGCGAGCCACCCACCAAGGAGGTGGGCTCGGACGAACTGGCGGCTGCCATGGCAGTGGAGGCTTGCCTGCGAAGGTGATATGGAATATGGGAGGAGCAGGGGGCGAACAACACACAAGAAATGGAGAATGTTGTTTGCCCGCGGGATGGACGCAGCTGGAAAATAAGGGTGATGTGGCGCAGTGCTACTCCAGATGTGGAGCGGTGATCTTGTTTCTGTTCCATGGTCATTTCGGTGCACGATGTCTTTAAAGCAGACTGAGGCACATCGCATTTAACTTGTTTTGTCAGCACCTACTTCACTGCTCTTAGGAAGCTTGAAGGCTAGGCCTACTGGTCATTTAGATATATCATCTCACACAAAATATTTTGACGCGCCAGAGTCACACCTGAGGTTCTTCTTGCTCTTACAGTTCTGGGCTCCAACTAGTCCAATACTCGAAATATCCGCATGAAAAGTCTGTCATTTATGGACTTCTCAAACAGACTTTTCCACCAGACGTACTTTTGCCGTCAACGAGCGACTGGCCTGTGCTAACAAGCATGATGAACTTTTTCCTCGACGAACTTTGGCCCTGCACGAACTTAAGCACGACGTATTTTTGTCCTCGCGAACTCTTAAGTGACTAACTACCTCTCGGCGAACTTTTGTCCAACGAAATTAAAGAGAGTTTTCCACATTTGTATTGGTTTTGAACTGCAATTAGCAGCTTGAAGATTATTTGGTGCAGTTCACAGCACTGCGCCTCTTAATACCTTAACCTCTTTTCTTTGTGAGCTACACGTCTGCAAAGATACGCGGACTTTGTCGTGCAGACTATGTCAAGGTCACCCTGGCATCCATGATGCCATAATGACGTCATTCAAATCCTGTCATTTCATTGGCCATCCAGCGATCCAGGCCAGTAAAAGTACAATTGTCGATTCGTTGATATCTGGCGTTCGTGAGCACGATTTCCAGATATAACGGCCGTTAATCGGTATTCAATCACTGCTATGCTAGGAACGATGGCGCAGTGAAATAATGACGCATTGGGAGCATACTTACTGATTAGAGAATCTGTGTTGTCTAGAGCAGCATTTCCCCTTAGAAGTGTACCAATATAATGCAAGTATATATATATATATATATATATATATATATATATATATATATATATATATATATATATATGGCCAACCAATAACGTACTGTAAAACATACCAATAAAATGAGTGTATATCATTGAGTATATGTCATCGTATTTGGTGCTTACTTTTATATCTCCAAATGTAGAGCATTCCCATTTAGTCCAACCAGCTTACGTCGCACTAACTTCTGCCTTGCCAACTTAAGTCCTAAAATCAGAAAATCAGGCTGTCAGCGATATCCGCCTATTATATGTAATCGCATTAGACTCGCCCGAGGAGTGTTGCGGCCGGCTAGTCGTGGTGTGGTCGGGGGAGGGAGGGGAAGGGGGACACAACGGCTGACGGCCGGCACCGCTCGCAGGCGGCGGCGCGCGGCGCAACGGTCACCACCCCCCGTGAGGCGCACGCCGCCTCCTTCCCGGAGACCATCCCCGAGGAGACGTCCTCGATCGAGGAGGAACATGTGATGATCTTCCGGCTGGACTCGCTGCCGGAGGAGGACGAGGATGACACGCAGAGGCGGCCCAAGGTGTATAAGGTAAGGCAGCCCGCAACCGGTGGGCTGCCTTGCGTGGTGGCTGCCTGCTGGCTCTGGCGGAGGAACTTCGCTCGCTCTCGACGGGATGTTGTGGTGTGTGTGGGGCTGAAGAAGGCTAAGACGTCTGCGACTTGCTTAAATGTCCGATGTACATTTTGAATTGTGTTAGATATGTAAATCACTGAGTGTCTGTCGTGTCGTTGTTGTTTTGTATATTCGAGGGATGCTACGTCTTCATCATGTCCCTCGCGGCCCATGGTCCTGCGGTCATGTCGTGAAGAAATAGGTGCTGCAGCCACAACGCCACTTTTCAGGTGCCGTCCCGTATGCTGGGGCATCAGGTCAGCGAGAATCGAACGAGCCCGCATGAGTCCAATCGTCCTGCTGTCGGCGAGCACGGGTCAGCGACCCACCACGGGTCGGGTTCGGCCACCCGCTGTCCTGTGACCCAGGGGAGCCGGTTGGCTGCATACCCAGAGACTTGACTGTAATGCTGCGTGATGTTTGCTTTGTGCTTTATGGTTTTGGGATGGCAAACTCTGCGATTTGTGATCGCCAAGCCAGTGTTGACCATAGATAAGGAGCACGAACCCATGCTTAGCGTTGTAACTTGTCATATTTGCATCGCTGCCGCGCTTTTCACCTGTTTATGAATTTTGCCCTTCCGGTACGAGCCCACTAAGTGCATTGTCACGATTCCTCGTGTTAAATCGCCCTTTTAAATTGGGAGACCGTCTCCACTCCAAGCGCTGTTTTTTCTTGACCGCCCAGAAGTGTCTTTTAAGCCGTTTACTGAAGCAGTTTCCCAATGTGGCTGTGTCCTGGCGAGCAGGGGAGCGGCGGTGGAGCCGTCCTCCTCCCGCGCCAGCCACACGCCCTCCACCCTGGTCGACCTCACGATGGCCACCTTCACGGACGTGGCTGTGCTGCGCTGCCTCTTCATTCCGCAATGGGTGGAGGAAGGTGTCTTCTGGGCCGTCCAGTTCCTATTCTACAGGTCAGCGTTCGCCGTGTCTTGCATTTAGTCGGGGGACAATGCCAATTTGCGAGAGGGGCTCTCACCGACTACGACCATACATGCATATGGTTTGGTTCTCTGCCCTTGCATATCCTTCATATTAGGGGAAGACCTCTGCTAAGCCTCTGTCAAAGGCGAAGTGTCTTACCTCCAATATTTCACGTGCAGCTACTGGGGTTGACCTGACCTCAAGAAAGGACACCTTGACTATTAGCTTAAAAATATTGGGCTCACCAAACTGCAGTGTATTAGGCCCACGAAAAGCAGGACAGTTAAGATTCTGTGGGGAATATTTCAAATAAAACGTGCATCGAACAACGGTGATATTGACCATGCTGAGGTTTTCTTCGGGCCCGAAGTTATGGACTAAAGCAACGCCTTACTGAGAATGCCGATACCGTGTACTTGTCGTTCAGGTAAGTGAAGCCAGCCGAAGCTGTACAACGTTAGCATGGCGTAAAGGGCAAGTTTCTGCCAAGAAAACAAGAAAAGACACGCCCCCCCCAAAAAAAAACAGAAAAATATGCGCAAATATGCGCACACGTAACACAAACAACTTATTTTTGGGTGGGCCTTTAACCACATATATGAATCGCCGCCGCCTTGGCCTGTCAGCTCGAGAACTTCAGAGTTAGTACCATGTTGTCTCAGAGCTAACATGTGTTCCACCTTTCATCTGACTGATATGGTGAGGTGTGTAGAGCTGGGGCGGGGGGGGGGGGAGGGGCGGACATTTTCGTCCTACTTGCAATGAGCATCGCATTAGCCTTGTGGTGAAGCAGGGACCAAATCGATTGTTCATGATCATGGCTCTGCTCATCATATGCTGCTAACTAACGACACATCAGCGACGACAGCGGGTGTTGTGCAAGCCAATCCAGATTGCTATTTGAAACTAGACAGGTACAAAATGCAAGCTGAGGGGATCCAGAATACCTACCAAGATAAATGTCCCTCGCCAACAGTCCCGGCGCTACAGGCATAGCGCCTGGCTCAGCAGCAGCCCGTAATTCCCGCCGCTCGCACCGCGCCCATTAAACCGTCCTGTTCCCCAGACTGCGCGAGATGACCAACGACGGCACGGAGGAGGACGCTCCGCGGAAGCGCAGCAACTCGCTTCCAGTACCCAAGATTGAGGTCTCGCTCTACCAGAGTCCGGAAACGAAGCGCCGCGAGGCAGCCGCCCGCGAGGCGCCGCCGCCCTCGCCAGACCACATGTACACCGGCGGTGAGTCGGACACGTGGTCAGTCGCCGGGCACCCGGTCAGACCGTACGCCCGGGTACTCGGTCAGACCAGACGCCAGGGTACTCGGTCAGACCAGACCCCAGGGTACTCGGTCAGACCGTACACTCGGGTACTCGGTCAGACCAGACCTCAGGGTACTCAGTCAGACCAGACCCCAGGGTACTCGGTCAGACCGTACGCCCGGGTATTCGGTCAGACCAGACCTCAGGGTACTCGGTCAGCTCGTACGCCCGGGTACTCGGTCAGACCGACGCCCGGGTGCTCGGCCAGACCAGACGCCCGGGCACCCGATCAGACCAGACGCCAGGGTACACGGCCAGACGGACGCCAGGGTACTCGGTCAGACCGACGCCCGGGTGCTCGGCCAGACCAGGCGTCGGGTACACGGTCAGACCGACGCCCGGGCATCCGGTCAGACCAGAAGGCCGGATACTCGGCCGGACCGACGCCCGGGGTGCCGGGGTCAGGCCGGATGCGGATCGAGGCGCGCCAGACGGCAGCCAATTAGCCACGCCGGGCCGCCGAGGGCCGCCGGACCCTGGACACCGTCAGCGCTGGCCAGCTTGATTGGACTGCCAGGATCAATGTAGGCTCAGCGGGTAGCTTTGTGACGTGGTGGGTCTGTTGGTAGACAAGAGGAGTCAGTCCTTGCCGTGGCTGCTGGTCCCTGGAAATGTTTCAGGTGTAGAGGAGATTTGTGTATCCTATGTTTTTTTT